CCTCATGACTGATTACACTCAGGACCGCTTCCTCGCCCCTTTAGCTCTTCAAATACTGGCAATAATACCACATCTATTTTGTCAGGGGACACACACAAAGACTAAGCACAAAGAAAATGTGGCAGCAATGAAGAGAAGATTGGCAATGTGGCAGACTGGGGCCCTTGATGATCTCCTGTGTGAAGCAAGAACACTGCAGGAGAGACTAAAAATTACGGGTGACGGAAAGCAAAACGCCGATGACGTGGCAAGAAAATTTGGAAACAAAATGCGTGTGGGAAAAGTGTCTCTGGCGGTAAGATCTCTCACAGAGGAATCCTCCGGTGGGGTGATGCCAATAAACAGAGAGACATTAAAACTACTGAAAGAGAAACATCCCTCTGCAAGTGATGAAGAAGGCATCAGGTTCGAGGGTGCCTATATCCCACCAAACGCTGTCCTGTTCGAGAAAATAACAGGAGAGATGGTGTGGAAAAAGGCACTGAAGACTCGAGGAGGAGCCGGCCCTTCAGGTCTGGATGCAAACTGTTGGAGAGTCATCCTCAGCACAAACAAGTTTGGCCCTGTAGCAAGCGATCTTTGCACTGCCATTGCCGCCCTTGCAAGAAGGCTTGCATCCTCTTGCTACCATCACCTCCAGGCCCTGACGGCCTGCCGCCTTATTCCTCTGGAAAAGAAACCAGGATGTAGGCCTATAGGGGTGGGGGAAGTGCTGAGGCGGATCATCGGAAAATGCATAATGGAGGTGGTAAAGGATGATGTCAGGGCAGCAGCAGGGAACCTACAAGTGTGTGCTGGCCAACAAGCTGGAGGGGAAGCTGCCATTCACGCCATGAGACTGATATTTGAGCAGCGTGATTGTGAGGCCGTTCTCCTGGTGGATGCTTCAAACGCATTCAACATACTTAACCACAAGGCTGCACTGCACAACATCAAGATCAAGTGTCCAAGCTTTACAATGTATGTTGAAAACTCGTATAGGAATCCATCAGACCTCTATATAGTAAACAACAAGGCTCTAAGAGGTGATACCATTTTACAGTCAACCGAGGGAACAACACAGGGGGACCCTGTTGCAATGGCAATGTATGCAATTGGCCTATCAGTGCTCCAACAAGAAAAATAATTTGAAACAACTGGGGTCAAACAAGTGGTGTATGCTGATGACCTTACAGGAGCAGGAAAAGTGGAGGGCATCAAAAAGTGGTGGGACTTGGTAACATCGCGAGGTCCACAAATAGGGTACCACCCAAACGCCAGCAAGTCCTTCCTCATCTTGAAGCCAGAACATTATGAACGGGCAATGGAAGTTTTTGGCGGAAGTGAGGTCAAAATAACTAAGGACGGCCAAAGACATCTAGGCGCAGTAATTGGCACTACGGACTTCAAGACCGAGTACGTAGCGGGAAAGTTGAATAAGTGAGTTAGTGAAATCCAAGCTCTGTCTAAGATTGCTAACACAGAGCCACATGCGGCCTTTGCTGCATTCACCCATGGAGTCAAGCATCGTTGGAACTACCTGATGCGTACTATCCCTGATATTGGACCCTTCCTCCACTCTCTGGAAGAAGCAATCAGTGTCAATTTCATTCCTAAAATAGTGAAACACCCTGACTTAACCCCAGCAGAAAGAGCAGTTCTTGCACTTCCATCAAGACTGGGAGGGATGGGACTAGCCAATCCAGAGGAGATTGCTGCCACCGAACATCAAAATTTACTTAAGCTCATGGCAGCCCTCACGGACCACATAATAGCCCAGAACGCAACAGGGGAGGTGGATACCAGTGAAGTAAACAAGATTCGTAGGTCCATTACGACAGATCGACAGCACTGCCAAAATGATAAGTTTGCAGCAACTGTTGCTGCAGGTACCAGAAAATTTGAAAAAAAAGTAGCTATAGCGCAGGAGGTGGGCGCCTCGAACTGGTTAACTACGTTACCGATAAGGGCAAATGGTTTCAGTCTTAATAAACAAGAATTTACAGATTCCATTGCTCTAAGGTACGGTCGGTGTGCAAGAAAGGGGGCTTCATATGCATGAGGCATGACAAGGTAAGGGACCTCACAGCAAATATGTTGAAGGAAATCTGCCGGGATGTCATGGTAGAACCGACCCTCCTTCCAATGGATGGTGAGATCTTCCAACACAGGACTTCAAACACATCTAACGAAGCCCGTGTTGACGTCAGTGCTCGAGGATTCTGGACGCGGGGACAGCGAGCTTTCTTCAACATCAGGATTTTTTATCCCATGGCCGCATGTCACCATAACCTGGCTCTCGATGCTGCACATAGGAGGAACGAGAACGACAAGAGAAGCGCATATGGGGAGAGAATTCAAAACATTGATCAAAGCAGCTTCACTCTTCTAGTGTTCACAACCTCTGGTGGGATGGGACCAAGTGCAAGATGTTTCTACGCCAGACTCGCGGAGGTGATCTCCGAACAGAAGCAGCAGCCCAGAAGTTATGTTACAGCCTGGATGAGATGGCGACTGTCTTTCTCTCTCCTTCCGTCGGCTTTGCTCTGCCTCAGGGGAACGAGAGCTTCTGCCCCAATCCCGACAACTGCTGCAGATATTGACTATGAGGCTACAGTCACTGAATGCCGAATAGATCTGCGGCTCAACTAATTCAACACAGATAGGATAGCTACTTATGTATTAGGATATTTAATATTAAGGTAATAAAATGGTGGCGAAGGTGTGGCTATTGGGGGAGGCTGGAGACCACGTTTTGTAAGAGTAGTAGTAGTAGTTGTAGTAGTATTTTCGCCACTAGGCCCTGATGTGGGTCATTGACTTGTGCCCTTGTGGGCTAATCCCCATCAAAAACAGTTTGTCTGCATCGTTTTCATTGCAACAAATGGCTTCAATTGTCTCCTTCTGGCACACCTACAGTAGCTCAACATATGCTAGGGTAATCACTCTTGATCTATCAACGGGTTTATTTTTCACTTTTAATTTTATTCTTATGTTAACTATCATTTTTACATGTAAAAGGTTATTAGAGACCCCTCTTTGTTTTACCAAAGACAACCCCGCACAGTGGAGTGACTGTACGATCACAGTCTTCACTATGGGCTAGACCTGTCTTTCCCCGACCCAATAATGGTCACACACAATCCCACACGGGTGTGAGATATGCGCCACTGGAGGGGCTCCGGCACGAATGCTTAAACAAAAATAAAAATATTGCAGGTGCCTCGGCCAGGGTAAGTAATTAGAAATCTTAGGGTGGAGAAAAAGCCCTCCAACCTCACCAGGAAGGCCAAGAAACAGCTGCCCTCCAACAGGAGTGTGGGTCACTCGCACTGCCCGAAGGGAAAACAGCTGTTGATGGCACTCCTAAGCGTTCGTGAGGATGTCTACACTCTAATCTTGAGTTATGTGGGGGCGTTATCCAGGGACGGTCGAGGTCGTTCGCTCAGTTAAACCGGTTCTAAGGGCGCCGATGGTAGAACGGTACCGCTCTTGCCTCGCAAGCGAGATGTCACGGGTTCGATTCCCGGGACGGTGGAAAAGTTGTTTGGACATACTTCCTAGCCCTCATTGGTCCCTGTTCACCTAGCAGTAATGTAGGTACCTGGTGTAAATCGAAAGTTGCGAATTCGTATTCAGGGAAAGTTGTTGGAGCTTCCAATAACTTGATGACGTAATTCATTGACTCTTCAGGCTTCTACGCCCTTGACTCTTCAGGCTTCTACGTCCTTTAACTCATGAGACATAAAGGCAAGCATGAACTTAGCATGCTTCCCTGTTGGGCGCTGTAAACGCTTCTGCGCTTCACCTTACACAGGAATGTAGGGGATGCCCAATAAAAAAAAAAAAAAACGGTTCTACGAGTTGTTCTGGTTAGCAAGGTCTGAGTCAAGTTGTGATTGGCTCTTCAGGGAAGGTGCACTCCTGCTGCTGCCAGTCACCAATTGGATATTGTCGTCAGAGGCGTTGGCTGCTGCTGCTACTGCCGTCCAGCGAATATGAATCAAGGGCTGCGCTATCTATTTTATACCTCAGGGTTACATAGTCGGGATTTGTACAGACCTCTTTATCGGTATCAATTACGGCTTATGAAAATTACTACTATGGAGTTACATTAATTCTTAAGGTTAATCCTTATAATCTAATCAGTTTTTAAACTTGCATTTAAATTTGTTACAAATACTCAGAATAGCATACTCACTTCTTGTGAAGTAAGCGTTTAAGACATATGCAATGAATTACTACCGGACTGGATGCTTTGACATTTCTGATCAATGATTTATGACTTTCTTCAATACTAAAATGACATTTACTTCAATACAGTTATCAGATTCTTTGATGGCAGCGAATCAAAGACATATAACTTCAGTTTTGAATGGATAACTCGTAACCTAAGAAGAGGCAAAAGCAGTTATCAAAGATTTGGCTGGGAATTCATATACATCATCTGGGTACAATTTTAACTACGTTTAAATATATTTGAAGCTTTCAAAATATACATACTGAATCTTGGATACCGACAACAAATCTCTCTCTAGGGGTAACTAGCTCGTTTCATATTCCTGTATGTTTTAAAAAACAACGGAGCATAATTTGAATAGGTATGGGTGTGAAAATAGTATCAGTACAACTGTGCCCATGGCACGAAGACCAGACATTTCTCCAAACGGGAGCACTTCATCTTGAAGAGTGTTACGAGGGATATCTGAAAAGTGCAATCTGAATTTATTTGCAAGATATGATTTTATTTGTTATTGTTTATGTTAAAATTATCGCACCTTCACCTAAAATAATGCAGTAATTCCTGATTTCTTTGCTTTGTCAAAACAAGTATACAATTAGTTATGCATATACGTCTGACCCTTTCGTCTATAATTTAGAATATAAAACAAGTAGGCTATGTGAATAAATACGAAACCCAAAAAAGAATAATGTTTATTGGTCCTCAGGTTGTGATTCTGTTAAGGTTATCCCAGAAATAACATTTATTCAGTTTTCTCTAATCAATTCGTTTTCCTTAGTGCCAACTTTCTGTGGGCAATACTTCACTGTTACCAGCGGGACCATCACCTCCTACAATTACAACAATGGCGTCTACCTGGCGGGTCTCCAGTACTCAATCTGCTTCAGGAAGGAGGTTGGCTACTGCACATACACACTCAAGAAAACGGTTCGTAGGATATGAACAAAGTTTGTAGACTTATGATATTAAGTTTAATACCGTCCTCAGTGACTCACATATTTTTTTTTTTACTTACACTAATATTAATACTCCCCCCACCACGACCTTGTTGTCATATTTTACTTTACTTTATCCTCTTCCCCAATGATGAATGCTGGACACTGGAGCTGCTCACATTACATCACTGGACCACCTTTGGAACCAATAGTTGTCAAATTTTGCCTGACACTGGCAACCTGAAAACTTCTGAGCATCAGATTTCTTGGAATGTTTAGACTTCTCCTCGAACGAGTACTTTACTGATGCCTAATCAGAGGTGCCCTATGGGAGTGTGATACATGCACACGTACTGTGATGCCCTGTTTTGGATGACTTGACGTGCCGTGGGTGGGAGGTTTTGCTTTGTTCTCCCTTTTTTTTTGTTTCCTTCTGGTGTTGAGACCTACGCATTTTTTTTATTCGTCCCTCCCCCCCCCCCACTCACGTACACCGCACTCAGAAGTATTGAGCTTGGGAGTTGGGAGACCCATAGCTTTCAGTCGAACCAGCAGGGAACCTGTAATCGTGCAGGGCCCTACGAGCCTGACACCCACCCAAGAGGGGGTGTGGCGGGGTTTCAGCTCTGGCAGGCAACCCTCTGGTATAGGAAGAACAACATACGTCCAAAACCAAGCAACTGCCCATGAATCTTCGAAATGCCGAGAAGCTTACGCCTTAAACACAGAGACAAAAGAAAACATGCGAGTTGGACGAAAGTAACGGAGGTGACTTACGAAACCTTCCAAGTTCCATTCACCAGGATTTTCACAGCCAACGAAGGCTACAAGGCAGTTTGTAAAAATAATCTTGACGCGGATAAAATCCTCTCAAAAGAATCACGGGACAAATTCTATAGAGAGGGATTAATATCAATAATGCCACTTGAGCAAAAAGCAAAGAGGTCTGTATCTGTACGACAGAGATCCAGAAGAAGCAAACACAGCGGAAGAACTAATGGAGGAACTCGAACAGCAGAACGAATGGAAGAAGGGGGAAGAAGGAATAATAATCAAGGATTACACCCACGTGTTCAAGATCACCTTCGAAGAGACCGACATGGCAGAAAAAACACTGCAACAAGGATTCCTAATATTCAATATGTCAGTGACACAAAACCAGATTAAAAGGGAAACCTTTATAAGCCTGCAAACATGCTTCTTCTGATAGAAATATGAAGAGTATCCAACAAGAGAATGCACAGAAAAAAAAACAAGAAATACTGGTCAAATTTTACTGGAGAGGATAACACTTTCAACGACTACAACAACACCAATTCATCTGGCTGCTTGAACTGTAAGAGGAATGGCGATATCTATCAAAATCACAGGACAGTAGCAGTGGCATGTCCAATAAAAAAGTACATGATAAAATACAATGAGGAGGAAATGAATAGGAAAGAACAGGAGAAGCAACAAGCAAGCAAATCAGAAACGAGTCTACTCAAACTGAGCAAAGCAGTACACGACAAAGTCATGATTAGCTTGGTACATACACATCTGCACAACATTACAGCACCTGGAACATACAATGCCAAACTAAGGAAGATGTTCCAACTGTACAACCTGCCCGATATATGTTTTCAAACAATCCGAGTCGGCAAAATTACTACAAGTAACGCACACATCGGAACTAAATGACCATCTTCAAGCAAAGGATCAAGAAGAAGAAAGTAATGAAACCGAATCACAAGAAAATTAAAAAAGGCAACACGAAAACAGCGGCAGAAAGCAAGAGACCCTAGACAAACTCAAACAAAAACAGACAAGAAGAAATCCGAAATGGCATACAAGGAGCTATTACAAAGCAGAAGTCAAGGAAAAAGTAGGAATAAATGCAGGCAGTGGGACACTTAAACAACCTGAGATGGCAGATGATATCGGACAGAAAATTATAACGACCCTTATATATGGAATCTCATCATCTTGACTTACTGGAAAATCAATAATGAAGAATTGTGAAGAAGGCAAATATAAATGGACGTATCAGGACAGAAATTTAAGTGAAGATTATGAATGGACCCTGATTTTTAGTGACAGACTAAGAATAACGTCTGGTGACTTCAAACTGATAGAAGACTCAGAATTCAGAAGGGTAAGAAACGACCGCCCTAAACGACATATCTCCTTCACAAGAATCGCAAGCAAAAATAAAGAAATAATGGCCTGGAGGGAACAAATAAAGGAGACATTAAAAAGAATCCAACATAATGTAATAAACTGGAGAACGGAGATGATAAACTTAGGAAACATATACCAGGAATTAGAACCAGACAACATTTTGATAAATAGTCATGGAGAAACAACACACGACAAAATGACAATAGTGAACTACCATGTCCACCAGCAAAACAAATCTAATCAAAAACATGACGGAGTGGCTATAGCTGTCAAGAGATATATAAAGTACAAATTAATAGACGGGTTTGAGGAGAAACTACTAGCAGTAAAAATCCACACAACACAAGGAGAAGTAATATTTGCAACCGTGTTCAGTACCTACCACCAAGAAGATCATACCTGCCAATGGAAGATATCCTAAAGCTGGTTAACCACAGCCAACCTATGAATATATCTCAGAAATTTGATTTTTGACAACCCCAGCGATATTGCTGTAGGGAAATCTTTAGAACAAATTATAAACACAGGGAAACACATGCATCTCCGTCTCTATTTCCCCAATGGAGAAACCGCAATTCTGGCTCTACCGCGGATCGATTTTTTTCAAACAACAAAGGGTTTTTTAATTATCATATACAACAAGGTCTTCTCACAGGCAGCGATCACCTACCCATGATCTTCAAATTATCCACAAATCCCAAAGAAATGCCCTTCCCAAAAAGACTCAAAATGGGCAAAGCAAACTGGGCAACTTCAAAGAAGAACTAAAAGACCACCAAATCTTTAAGAAAAATTGGCGCAGGAATGGACAGAATGCAGCAGACAACACCCCCAAAACAAGTTACAGAATTCTCCCAAGCAATAAACCTATTTAAGTGATTAAAATGTATACCAATACAATACAATCAATATAATGAAATGGGCAAATATATTGAAAGATTCGGATCATCTAGATGGCTAAAAGCAACACTGAGAACATTGCATCCGAAATTAAAAGATGAGTATAAGAATACCAACAAAAAGAGATGGAATGACCTGATAGCCTCTGCCGGCAACGCGAAGGATCCAAAAACATTCTGATATTAATACGTAAAATGATGGGAAAACACAAGCAAAAATCACCATAAGTAAAAGGTCATAATGGACACAAGCTTTACAAAGAGAAAGAACAAAAATAGGCATTCAGGCGAGAACGGGAAAAAAAAATTCATCCAAAACTATGAAAAGAAAAAAATTATGATTTTGATAAAGACCATGAAAACATGATAAAAACAGAAATGAGGGAGAAAATACACGTCACTACTCCTTACCACTTCATTTATATGACGACTCTTCCAGAACGTCAACGCATAACACTCAGAAAACTTCTTCACAACCTGAGGAAATTTGAAGAAAAAACTCCAGGGATTACAGCCACTGCTTAGTATCTACAATGTCTAGACTGTGGGATACTTTCCAGGGACACTCAAAATAGCCAAAATTATATTTTTACCAAAAGATGGCAAAGACATACAAATTATACTAAAGTATTGACTCATATCACTACTGGCGGTGGCAGGAATATCCTGCAGAAAATAATAACTGCAAGACAAATGAAATTGCTGGTAAACACCGAGAAAAGAAACTGCAGGCAACACGGATTTATGCCAGACAGACACCCATACACCTATTGCCACAATCTACCCAAATTATAACTCATGAAAAGAGAAAAAAGGAAATCAAGTAAACATTGTATTTAGAAACGTGGCAACAACTTTTGACATCTAGGCTGAAAATACAAACTTCTAAAATTAGATCTCCCTCCCAAAATCGAAAGAATGTTATGTGACTATCTCAATAGTAATGTAGAACTGCCCAAATACAAATAGGAAACAGCATAGGACCGCTGATTGAGCTGGAAAGTAGAGTTCCCTAAGGAGGATGCCTGTTATTCACTCCTTATTCAATAGACACTGCGGACATTCTACCACCACCAGCATATAGTGAATATGTCATGTTCGCAGACGACATAACATGCAATAACGTACCCATGCAAATCAACAAATTTTATGGCTCACCACACCGCCCTAGTAATCAAAAATATCAACGACGACGAAAATAAATAGAACATAAGAACAAACAAAACCAAATTCAAGATCATTCCACTAGCAAAACTTAAGACAAGCCCGGCAATAGTAGATGGGAAAGCTACCCATATGAAACAGAAGGCAGGATACTGGGACTAAAAATAGCAAAATGAGGGTACACAAGTCATCTTAAAGATTTGCAAAAATAAAAAGATCCAAGAACTTGAGTACCAACAATAAAAAGAAAATATATACACCGCAAGTAATATTAGTAATAGACTATACGGCTATACCACTACATACCCTAAGTAAAACAAGCATAAAAACCCTGCAAACGATCCAAAATTATGCCCTCAGATTTATATACAATCATATACCATATAAATTACACCGACCACATCATAAATGAAGAGTTACATAAAACGGCAAATTATAAAGCATTAAATGTCGATGTTCACCTAAACTTGCAAACCTTCCAGAACTGGATAATTGAGGACGATAACGACGCAAAAGAACACAGTTGGTTTAGATCAAGTAAAAAAAAAGAAAATATTTAGTAGACTATCCCCCTTACCAACATATACGGAAATCGAACAATAAAATTATATTACCAAGATGAGAATGACCTAACAGGTCCACAGGAACATAGCAGGCTTCTTCACTCCTTTTTCTATGCATATGGATTCTCTCTCTGAGCAACCCTCCTTCCAACAAGCATTTTTCCTTAACAACTAAAATTCCATGCAAATTTGCATTATTACAAATA